TAACTAAGAAATGGCGAGCAGAACAAATTCTAAAGAATTCACGATATAAATTTTGAAATGTTTTAATATATCAATTGTTTAAGAATGACTTTAACATACAACAAAAGATAAGTGCTCCCAACAGTCAGTGGGAAAGAAAATTTGTCTGAAAAACGCTGATATCTCTGAAACGTCTGAAATTCTTAGGAATTCGCGGCTTAAATATATAAATTGTTTAAGAATAACTATATATATACAACAATAGATAAGTGTTGACAACCATTAGTGGGAAAGATGGCACTGCACGCTCCGAAAAGTGACCCCAAAGCATAAATAATTGACAAACCATTAAGATTCGTCCAGCTCGACACTGATTCTCCAGCGACCACAAAGTACACAGTTTAAGTGCTTGGCACTTTGCAGCTGCTTAGATCGTCTCAAAAGGTGACCTCAAAACGTTGACCGGTGACCTCGTGCCAGAGCAAACTTTGCTAACTAGGAAATCTCATTAATTTAGTCATCATACTGCTTTTGTGGTGCAAATGAAGCGGCACGGCACAAAGTTCACGTTCCTGCGGTGCCAACAAAAAGCGTTTGGGAATGGGAACCTCATCTCGACCTATCCTTCCACACTAAATTACACTTCAAAAAACCAAACTTAGCGGTGACGTTGCAATTGCCCTTCACAAAAGCCATCGACCATGGAATTTTATAAAATTTCATTGATTAAATTAATTATTATCGGTTATCTGCCGGCAAAAGTGTGCCTGACCAAAAAATATATTACTCTTGTCAAAAATGTGGCTAATTTGATTTGTGCCAAATTAGTCAGTCAATTGCCATGTCAACTAATTATTGGCTAGCTTTACTTATAATTAGGGCGCAAATAAGGTGCAATTACAGTGTGCACACGCGGATGGATAATAGTTTGACTTTAAAAATGTAGTTAAAACAGGAGAGTTTTTTCTACAGAAACTATTCTTAAATGATTTCTTTAAAAAATCACACAAGCAATAGTCATGCCATAAAACAATATTTTACCTAACACTCACATACAGATTTCATCTTAGTTTTTTTTACATTTCCTATTTATTATTTCCAAAAAAAATATATACATTTCGTTGTAACCCAGATTTTATTACAGCTAATTCAGGGGTTTTCGGTAAAATTTACTTAATCGGATGCCACTTTAAAAGAGTATTATCTTTATTGTGTACTTTGATAAATACAAAAGTAAATACATAAATGTCTTAATGAAATGATTTTAAGCCAAAGCTTCAACAAAAACTTTCTTCCAAGTAAATATATAAATTTACTCAATCGGCTCCCACTTTAATAAAGTATTATCTTTATTAAAAAAACTCACTTTCGAGTGACATTTAAGGTTGATTGTTAATAAACAAACTTCTTTATTAAATGATTAATAGTTTTAAGTTTCTACGAAAAATATGACACTTCTAATGCTCAAGGAAATATGTATAACATGTTATATACCATATACCCAGATTTTACATTTTTTACAATTAATTTAGGGGCTCTTTGCAAAATAAACTCAGTCGGTGTCCACTTTAAGAGAGTATCTTTATTGAAAACACTTAATTTCAGAATTCATTATAGTTAATAGTTTATTTACTTAAACTAAAAATATAACATTTCCTATTCCCTATTTTCAAAGATATATCTACCATAAGCCCAGATTTGATTACCTTTACTTCATGGGTTTTTTGTGAAATAAACTCAATCGGTCCCCACTTTAAAAGAAAAAAACACTCACTTTCAGACTCCATTTCAGTTGAATTGTAAATAAATAAAGTTCGTAATTAAATGATTGAAAGCCAAAATTTCAACAGAAATTCTACGTTTCCCATTCCCTATATTCAAAGACAACATATACTAAATTTTATTAATTCAGTGGTTTTCTGTGAAACTTACTCAATCGACTGCCACTTTAATAGAGTGTTATCTTTCATTTGATGGGGTTTTGCTCAGTTTTACTTGGCACTTAATGCCTGTTATAGTCCGATTATTTTCTCCCTCTGCAATCCCGTTTCCCGGGGGCTCTTTTTCAACGACTTTCCGGCGACAGATGGACTTGGAGGGAATGAATGGCTGAGTGGACGAGGGACTGCGTCTAGGCCTAGGGCTCATGGACCCATGGAGCCATGGACTCCTGGACTTTGGCACACCTTCAGGTTCAATGTCCGCCCACTTTTGTGGCGGTGGTGGTGGTGCGTTATACGTGACAGGTGGAAAACCTCGGCGGGCACGCCGCTTTCCACTTCAGTGCGCTTTTCTGTGCGCCCGTTTATGGAGAGGCTGGAGAGGCCGCTGTCAAATTAATTGGCTTTTCCGGCCACGACTGGGACGGGGACTTGCACTTCGTCTTAGTTATACTTTTGCTTCTACTCGAAAATATATCCTATCGTCTGGCCTGTGGTCGATTGTGACTTCTCTCGTTGACTTGCTGGCAGAGATTTCCTCGCGAGTTTGGCGGTCTTCGATTTGGCCGAATGCCTGCAAAACTTTTCCAGCCAGTCGACCGAGTTGGTTTTTCATGGAGACCTTGTCATCAGGTCCGGCAAAAGTGGGCCAGCAGAGCGCCTTTTGATCGCAGGACCCTTTTTGGAAGGACCATCCATCCATGTCCAAGTCTTGAGTGGTGCCAAGTGCTCGAGTTGTTTTTAGACTGCCTCTAGCTGCGTTTTGATTGCCCCTTTCTGGGGAAAGGGAAAACATAGGGGCACACGATGCTTACCGGCATCTCGTCCAATGAGCTTAACTTGGTTGATTGAGTTTCACTCGTTGCCATTGAGCTATTATCATCGGAGTGACTCACTCACTTTGAGTCTGAGTGCGTCCCAAAATATCCCCTCAATTTTAGGACATTGTCAAAAAAAGGGGCGGAAATAAAGGGAAATTCTGGCTGACCACGTAGAAAGCTTTCTCAATACGGCGCGCCGCTGAATTTTTAATGTTTGGTATTGCCAAAACCACATTAACAAAAAATCATTGCATCTAATCTTTTGAATTTTTATATTTTTGAGAAAAGTTACTTAATTTTATTGAGGCGCAAAACAAAAGCTAACTTGGATGTTTATATTAGTAATTACTACCGGTTAAGATACCAACCAACATTGTACGTCACGTTTGGTAGCTTATAGAACATTTGTAAGACCTTAAAAGGCATTTTTAGGTTGCTATTATGTACAAATTTCAAGTTTTCAAGACCGAAAGAATAACCTTCTTTCAAAAGGCTTTCTACAAGAAATTTTTTTTTTCAAAAATCTATTGCGCCTAAGTTCTACCTAAATCAGCAAAAAACCAGTAAAAAACATTGTTTGCTCTTTTGGAACTAAATATCACAGCCATATTTATATTCCTTGCTTTTTAGATCAATACAATATCGTATGGCAAAAGTACACCAATAAATTATAAAATTTATCATATTTAGTTTATTGTTGGGTATGGTAAAATACTGGGTAGTAAAATAGATTTTTAGCACAGCATGTTTTCTTAGGAAATGAATGTCGCGTGTTTATAACAGATAACGTATAAGGATATTTAATGGGAAATAATTGTTTTACCTAAAAAGTTCGTACATAAATAGTGATCTAAATTTTGTAGATAAAATACCATTATTGGTAATACTCTGGTTTGAGTCCGCGGTGAAAAGTATATTTTGTAAATACGATACATATACTTATTTCTAGAAAACATGCTCTAAAATTATAGCAGATATGTAAAAAAATTGTTAGTATTTAGTCCTTTCTTTTCCCCCTTTTCCTATCAAATTAAAAATAAACTTAAAAGGAAAAAATGACAAGATTGTTACATTATAGCAAAAAAGTGCTTTTAAGATAGAAGAAACCTTTATATAACTCAATGTTTTCAAAAATAAAAATAGTCAAAAATAACATTACTATACCACTATTTTTTTATTAGATTTGTATTGTTATTATTTTTTAACAATACAAAATTCTTTAGTATAAATGTAATAATAAAACAAACAGGGCTAAAATATCCCTAAAAATAGCTTCCAGAACGTTCTATAGCTTCAATGAGCTTTGGAGCTTTTGTGCAACAAAAGTGGTTTTTAACATTGAAAAATAGCTTTTACTCCCTAACTTGGCCATATAACTTGAAAATTTTTGATTGCATTTTGTATACATGTACTTATGCTTCGGTATGGTAGATAAAGTCACCTTTGCTTCCAGTAGTTAATTAATGCGTTAATTGGTTGCTGACCTCTTGACCTGAACTTTAATCGAATCTTAAGCCGAAATGTTTGAGGACTAAGCCGCAAAATGTGTGCGCATTCGCTGTCCTACACATAAAAAAACTGAAAGATTAATTTAATAAGTTTGTCCTGAAACTAAAACACAGACAGTAATTAATTATTCATTTAATACAAAGTAATAAGACCCCTATAGTGGTATTAATTTAATACGCTTTGTACTCATCATACCCAATAGTTTTCAATTCACGTAAGAATAGTTTAGTTTCTATGACAATTTCGTTTTAGGTCTGGTAAAAGTGGCCTCCTCTTTAAAATACGCAACCGGAAACGACCTTGAGTGGCCTGACCTACCGGCTTGGGGAGGTCTCAGTCTCGGTCTCTGTCTCGGTTCTGTCTAAAAAATCTACAAATCTCAGTCAGAGTAAGATCCCAAGAACGATGATAATATTTTCCTGCTGCCAGGCCTTTGTTTTTGCCCCACGAGCACGGAAGCGGAAACGGAAGCGGAAGCAATACGCCCACACAGAGAAAGTCTCAGGTGGCATTGCATTTAAGCTGGCAGGCTTGCCAGCCAGAGTTCATCAAGATCTCGTATCTCATTAACTGGGTCATGGTAGACCACATTTAAGGCCGGGCCGCCTCATGCCTACCAAAAGCCAAAAAATCCCAAAAACGTCGCCATATTAGGTGTAAAGGTGCACGGTCTGCGGTATGAAAACTTTTTCAATTATAACCGTAAGCGCCAAGAAAGCAAAAAGACGTTCTCCTTTCTGGGGGTCGCAACTTTTAATACCCTTTAATCGGTCTGGCTAATGCAGGCCACAATTTTGACCGTATCCATGATCTCAACGACATTGCTACCCTCGCGAAATTCCACATTCTTGAGCAGCAAGGTCCACACATTGTCGCAGTGTCTATAGTTGAGCAATTTGTCGGCCTTAAAGGTGACCCTGGCCTTAACTTGCTTGTTTAAAGCTTTACTGATGGACTTGTCGAATTTCTTCAATATGGTATGGACCAAATCGGGACTTAAAAGGCCTTCCTGAAAATAATATAAAAATATGAATAATTACATTCCCAAATATTAATACAAATTTATTTGCCTGTGTCATCTCATTTATGGTTTCCTGAAGCGTGGTACCCAATGTTGAGGTGCGATAGAATTGGTAGCTCATTATGAAATTATAGCTTTTGGCAAATTAAAATGAAGAGAAGTTACTCGGCAAAAAACAGCACGCAGGCGCAGCAGATTTTCCAATGATATTCTTGCAAGTCATTTACCTTTTGACACTTCCCTTTTGACAAACCAATAACGGCTGTTAGACGAGTCTGTAAAACTAACAGAGATTATATCGATATTAATCTATTTATGTAATTCAGGGCTCTGAACCACTCCGGAGTGGGGTTTCTCCGAACCAAAGTGGTTCGGTTTTTTTTTATCGATCCAAACATTTAACGGAGCGTGATTTATTTCGTAAATTAACCGGAATTGAACGAGTTCGCTTTTTTTTTTTTTGAATAGAATGAACAATTGGAAGGCTAGATTCTAATTTTCCAACATTTTTTTCCGATATCAATTTTCTAATTGTAGTAGCATATTGGGCTACAATTTATATATTATACAAATTAAATAAATTAAATTAAATTTCATTAAAATTATGCTTCGCCTTTTGGCGTATATGTTTTGAAAAATAAAGATATGTCGAATTTCCGATAAGTTGTTCAATAGTTTCGAAGGCAGCCATATGATATAGTCGTCTGATTTTTAAAATATTGACATTGAAATTGCAAAAACGCACATAATCTCTGAGTATCTCGGTGGCTGTGGATCTTTTGTGAAATTTTAAATTTGCGGGTACAAAAAGTCCGATTTAGTTCAATTTTACAAACCAACAATATACTTTTTACCGCAAATTAGTCTTTAACAAACATCATTAGTTGTCCATTAGTCTTAAATAAAACACTCTGTGGTTTTTGACTTTGAGAACCCACTTAAATTACTTCAAAACGCTTGGAGCTTTATACTAAAGGAAAATCCTCTCAGTTCCTGAAATTACTTAAATGTTTTTGCTTGAAAATGAAGTTGAATTGTGGGGAATATTTCAAAAGACATCTCTGAAAGTCTCTCAACACTTTCGAGCTGCCACTCAGGGGTCGCATTACGACGTGGACACTGAAGCAAACTATATAGTTGGGGGGTCACAAATCACGTGACAGGGGCTGAGTGATGCACTGGAAAAAATCTATATGGTATAATGAATAAATTAATTATTTTTCCCAAAACTGCGTGTTGTTTTGTATCAGTATGGCGAGTGGAGAACGTGGATCCCAGCAGGCAAGCCTAACTCTATCCAGCACTCAAAAGTTCGGCACATTGGCAAAGGCTGTTAGTAATCCTGTTAAAAAGACGAATACCTCGAGAAATACAAATCAAAGTCGAGCATGGACGGCTCCAAGGTGGGATTCTTGGCCCGTCTGGACCGCCTTCTCCGCCGCTGGCTGCCAGGATACAATTTCATACGCAACAGGCGCCGCTCACCATCGCAAATCACGATAGCCGGAGGATCCTGCTCCGGTTCCGGTGGCCACAACATCCAGGTGCCACGTGGAAAAAGAGGTGGCAGGAAGGGCAAGCAAGAAGTCTATCTGGACACAGGCATTGCCAAGTCGGAGTTCTGCACTCAATTGGAGATCCTTTTGCGCAACAAGCTGATCAAAAAGCAGCAGGAGGAGATGGCGGCTTTGGAACAGCAGGAATAAGTCCACCAGAACAAGCAGGATCCGCTCCAGCACTAAATAGCGCTTTTGAGTTATATTGTTTATTTCTTACTTTTCATACCAACAACTCAATCCATCAATCAAGGCGCCACATTAAAATTAATTAAAAATAATGACCGCCAAACAAAACGGGGTTTTGTATATTAAAGGAAAATAAAAACGATTTTTCCCCACAAAACAAATCCCTTAGGCTTTGGGAGAAGTTTTCCCACTTAAGTAGCCCCATTTTCACCCCCTTTCAAGGCCATTGTTCCCTAATGCTAATCAGTCAACAACAATTTAATCGCTTTTAATGGCCAAGCAGTGGGAGTCGACTTCAAAATACCCTATCATTTTTCTATTGTACCTAAACTGTGATTTACTTTTGAAGTATAACATGTTTCTTTTAAGTTATATAATGCTCATTCGAACTTTTATTATTTTTTAACAATTAGTTTTTTTTTGTTTGAGCCTCAAGATGTGCTAAAGATGTTGATTTTGAATATTTTTTAAAGAAATTATACCACGATTAGTAGTTTTAAGACTGTATTCATCAAAATTAAAAATTCCCAAATTAATATTCTCTTTTTTTAATATCAATATATTTATGTATAAACTGCTAAACTAAACCAATATGATTATTCATCAAGATTAGGAATTCCCAAATCAATATTCTCTTGTTTTTATATCAATATATTTATGTTTAAACTGCTAAACTGACCATCATGGCTCTTAAAATCAATCAACTTACCCATTAAGCTACTCACTTTCTTCATTGGGGCGAAAAACTGAAAGTCAGGTGGGTTGGAAGCAAACACAAGCGGTGGTTAATGGGGGACTGACAAGCACTCGAAACATCGATTTAGTCGTTATCAATTGCGATGTCATTGAGCCCGGACTACAATTATATGTATTTCAATTTGTTGCAAGGCAGGAGGTTGTACCAAAAGCCCTGCTAATGTCCATGGCATTAGCATAGGGTTTTCCATTGCTCTCCATTGCCTCCAACAGCTAAACTTTTCGAACCATCCACTAACAAAAACATTACGTATACGCACCGCAAGCCAGTATCTAAACATGTGCGAGTGTGTGTGAGTGAGTGGGGACCAAGGGATGGCATCATAATTTTGCTGGCCAAGCACTTGAGCACTTGACCATTAACGTTACTTTTGTCTACGTAGCTTATACAAATACACCAAGAAAAAAATTAACTAAACTTTGAATTCGCATAATAAAAAGAAGAGCATGGCGAGAATTTTATACCCTAGCAGCTATTGCCAAATAAAATATTCTTTAAAACGACTATATTTTTAAGCGCAAATGTTTAAAACTATGTAAATATCTAGATTTTTTTAAATTAAATGTATATATGGTTGGCCATTAAATATATTGAAAATCTTTTATTTAGCTAATTTATGAATATTTTCTGTATGTGCATGAGCACACATTGTTGACAATTGAGGGCCGATTCGATGTGGAGAATGGTGGCCTGCTGGTTAAGTGGGCCATCATCCTGGAAACGAGCCGCAGCTGGACCGCAATCTGTTCCGTTCCTTTCAGTTCAGTTCAGTTATTCCCCCGGGTTTGGGTCCCCTTTCAATATTTGTGGTTGCTGGCAATCGGGGATGTCAACAAAAGTCTGTGTTATCCCACATAAAAGGGGAAGTTTTTTTAGAAGGAAAAATGCGGGAGAGAAAGCCCCTACGGTTGCCATGACCAACAACACAGCTGATTAAATTCTCGAAAGTGCACAAAGTTGTTGAGAAGAAATTGACAAAAACAAAAAAAAAACGGCAAGAACCATAGTCATAACAAAAAACACAATTTGATAAGCTAAAAAGTAATAATAATATTCGTTTTAAACTTATTTTGTTACCTTTGTTTCCATTTTGTTAAATATTTTATGCCAACAACAAATTGAATAAAAATTCGTTTTTTATTTATCATATCTTTTATTTGTAATTTCGTTTTTAAATGATTTTTGATTTTAATTTTGGATTAAAATTTTTAATAATAAATTACATTAAATTTTTTGTTCAATAATTTTTCATATTTGCGAGCATTAGTTTTGTTATTTTTCCTTGCTCTGTGGCAGCAGCAATAATTGAGCAAATATTTCCTAATTAAATCCATTTGTTCATATTACACGATGCTAGTCAAAAATTGGAAGAGAAAAAGGGGGAATTAACAAGGCATTGGGAGATCTAAAGGGATTCATGGGTATATATTTATAAGAATGGATATTCAGTGGGCTTACAAAACACATTTACAGAGGCGTCTTTAATGATATGTGTTGAAATATTTGTATTTGTGCTACTCAGTTGGATAAACCCGTGGTTAAAGTAGATGTTTTAGGTTATCTTTATCGCTTTTCGATTATCGATTACAATAAGAGCTAAAAGTAGTTTTGATTTCCAATTGGACTTAAATGGAAAGGTAAAGAAAATGCAGTTCCAAAATTGGAGTAAGTTTCCTTTACATATCGATTTTAAGTTAATCGTTTATCGGTGACGTTTTTGATATCCGATATTTAAATAGGCTATATATATATATATATATATATATATATATTAATATATATATATATATATATATATATATATATATATATATATATATATATATATATATATATATATATATATATATATATATAATTAATATATATATATATATATATATATATATATATATATATATATATATAATATATATAATATATATATATATAATTAATATAAGTTTTATTCGAGAAGCTGTGCGTTTTGTCAATTTAAATGTAATAAATATTATGAGTTAATATTTAAATTGTTTGGCTAATGCTGTCTAATCGATGTTCTATCGATTAAAAATGGCTAAGTAGTCGAAAAAAATATGATACTTTTACTTCTTTAACCTCTCAAGTTGATAAGTACTATAATATGCGACACCTGCCGAGCCTTTTGCGTTCGATTATTGATGAACATTGTTAAGGGTTCATATTATTGCAGTTTGACGAACACGGCTCGAGTATCAATTTGATTAATTTTGTTATTTTGAGTTTTTGTCTGTAGACGATCGATGTTATAGGTGAGTTGATAATCGATTAATCGTAACTGAGAGATATGGCCGATTTGGGTGTGGGCAGCGGCGATGTGGTGTTCTCCTCCTCGTCGTCGTTTTCCTGCGAATCCTCCGGTTCCCCCAAAGCGTGAACAAACTCGTAGAAGTCGATGCGTCCATCGCCATCCACATCCACCTCCTTGATCATGTCCTCAACTGGTTGTAAAATGGGGTTAGGGAATATGGGCGGGGCAATGGGCTTAAAGGGAACTTACTGTCCTCCTCGTCGAGATCTTCGCCCAGGCACTGCAGCACCGCTCGCAAATCGGAGGCCGTGATATATCCCCGATTGTGCTTGTCGAAAACGCGAAAGGCGTCGCGTAATTCCCGCTCCTCCTGATCGGCAGACGATAGCCCCGACTTGTCCTCATACGTCATGTTCGACAGGATATCAACGAACTCCTCAAAACTGACATTGCCATCGCCTAGAAAACAAACAAAGTGGGCATAGCAACAATAGAGCATACAAAATCATACATTTTATAGCCTTTATACAAAGATTTATCTTTCTGATTGCTTTTGTATTGGAAAAGTATCAAGGGGATTATCTCAAATCATATAATTTAATTTCTAAAGCTGTAATATTCTATAAAACAAATCCATTTCTATACCTAAATGTTTAAAATCTAAGTTGTAAAAATTATATGTTGTATACATAACATAGATAGTAATATGTGTTAATAATTCCTTTTGCTTAAATTAGTTCTGTAAATGTATTAATAATTGTTGGGTGTAAATTCTTTGCAAATTGATTGACCTTAATGGCAATGTATATCATTCCCAATCCCCCCGACTACTCACCATCCACGTCGATCTCCTGCAGCATCTCCTGCAGCTCCTCCACTCTGGCAAACTGACCCAGCGATCTCATCACAGTGCCCAGCTCCTCTTTGGTGATGCAGCCATCGCCGTCCTTGTCGAAGAGCCGAAAGGCCTCTCGAAATTCCCGCATTTGTCCCTTGGAGATGATGCGGCGTTTGTCCAGGGATTCACCTTCCGTCAGGTTTGGACCTTCGCCGATTCCCAATCCCATTCCCAAATCCGAGGAGGCATAGGATATTTGACGGGTTTTCGTCTTGCGTCTGCTGCGTGCATTAGACGACGTCCGTGGAGGAGGCGGACGATGTCCTCCTGGCTTCATAGACGGTTCGTAGTTGTCGTAGGACTCCTCCTCCTCCTCGTCCTCATCCTCTTCTTCTTCATCCTCCTCCTCCTCTTCGTTGTAGTCGTAGTCACCCATTTCCTCCTCCTGTACAAAGAAAAGAAAAACATACGAAGAGACAGCCATTGCATGGTTAAACAACCTATAAAAATTAGGTAATTTCATTAAAAATATCAGATTACCTACGTTCAGAAAACAGTTGTACCCTTAAAATTATTATTTAAAGTAATTAATTATTGTTTTTAGAACAGGATTTTCTAAATTTATATGGTAGGCTTAACTTTAAGGTTTTTTTTGTAATATTGTAATAACATGTAAAAAAAAATTTGTTTTTCAACTATTTTTTGTTTTTTTTTTTTGTAATTATCTATTGTTATTTTTGGTATAAAGTTATATAGAATTTATCAGAAGGATTTATAATTCAAAATTAGTTCACTTACTTTTCAGCTTTTCTGTCTGCACTGGGACACCAAAAAATAAGGTTTTGAGAAAAACACTTGTGGATATAAAATCAACATTTAACAAATGAAAAAAAAAAATTGCCATTAGAAAAGCGGGTTCCGCAGATTACTAGCTTGATAGTCTTATTTTTTCAAGAGATAAAGATTTGACTATTGATTCGATTGTCTATTTATAGACTTATCAAAAAAAAAATTTTTTTTTTACTTTTAGTCTAATTTTAGTACTTTTCAATGGATTACAAATTGAAACAACTAAGTAAACGACATACTTTTGTTAAAAGTACAGTAACAATTTTTCTTTGTTGCCCCCTTTTTTTTTTTTTGTTTCTACTTTTTTTCTGTGTGTAGAGATTTTCTTACCCGCATGCCCCTCGGCCGCTCGCCCACTTTGATCCCCTCGCAGCAGGAGCTGGAATCCGTATCCACATCCGTATCAGTCTGTTCCGGATGGGAAATGGCAGCACTTCGTTGTGGTTTCTTATCCTTTTTCCGAGGCCTTTGACGGCGCTGCTGTGTCGATTGTGACGGTTGCTGCTCGCTGCTGTGGGCGTGGCCATGGCCACCATCTACCGGCTGCTCCGCATCCTGAACCGCCTGATTCGCATCCTGATTCCCATCCTGATCGTCGCCCTCCGCTCCAACTGTTGCGGTCTGCTCCTCGTCGGGTTCATCGCCACTCACCGCCGCGTTTCTCGTCTAAAAAATGTAAGAAAAAACCAAATTAACATTTTCATCTATTTTAAAATAAAATCTAGTTTAAATCAAATCAAACAACACCTTTTATTCCTTTCTACAACACTTTTAAGTGATACTAAAAAAGTTTATAGGCAAATGTCAGTTGCAAAAAGAAAGCCATAAACAAACAGATAAGTTATTAATTAGCTTATGTAAAATTGCATTTGCACTACTATGCTAATAAACATATCATAAATAAACATATATATTTTCAAAGCATGTTGGATTATTATTAGCTTATATTAACAAAACAGCTTAAAAAAAACTTGAACTGTTTTATTTGTTAGTTATGTGTCAATAACATTGCTTTCTTTATTTATTAATTTGTGTGTAATGAGTTAAAAAATTAATATATAACATTGAATTATAAATACCTTAACTTTTGTTGTGTAAACATCTTAAACACACTCACCATTAGCTGGCGGAATTCGCGGGCAATTGTTGAACCAGTTAAAAATTTATTAACTGCCGTGAAAAGCCGTTTTCCTTCCAACGTGGCGGCCTTCCTCCCGCTTCAGCGGATCTGCGGCAAAGAATCCTCCTCTGCTCCTCCTGCGAAGGTCCTCCTCTTTTCCGCTTGCAACCGCACTTTCGGTTCGCAGGATATGCAAATTCCAAATCGAACGGGGCTGCAAAATGGAGGGGAAAGCAGTGGGGACCACATGTTAATTAAGCAATTAAGAATTGAAAGCAATTTGCATAGCGGACACGTCCGCAAATTTCGCCACCAACGAGACAACGTGACCGTCCGCACACAGACAAAAAAAACTCTGTATATGATATGTTAACCAATTTATCATGTATTTCCTATATTTGTATAAAAAATAACGTCAATAGTTCAGTAAATTCCACAATAATGTTAAAAAATATATATTTTTTGTATCTAAAAATTGAAGTTTAAATGTTGAGCCTATAAATTAAATCATTTTAAATGTTTGTTATATATTTTATTAAAATTTTTTAAGCAAAAAAATATTAAGGATTTTTGTTTTGAATTTAGTTTAGTCTGTAAAATTTATATTCTTTTACATTTGATGTCCAATTATTTGGCGTGAAATGGGCCTTATCATAAATAATATAATAAAACCCTCAGCAGGGTATAAAAATACGAACAATGTAAAATCAGCTTAGGCTGAAAATATCTAATTGAAATCGAGTTGAGTTTTTATCTGTGCAATTCGAACGCTCTGCCCCCATTCACATAGAAATGCGGTTGGCATTCAGTTGAAAATCTCTGCAGCGCAGCTGACTGAATGGTATAATCAGTCTAATAATCCATTTGATTGGCACACATTCAGGTCAGCATTTGGGACCAATAGAGTGACGCGAACAATAATGGCATCGATTGCTGTCAGCGTTCCGGAAAAATGAACGGACTGAGTCAGGGAAACCATTGAGTTTCAGTTGTCACATAAGAGGCAAAAATATTAAATACAGTAAGCCATTGTTAATGTCAAATAATATTGTCAGTGACAAACCTAAATACGTAGCACAAGTTGGTACTTAAAATATGATGATGGGATGGTACTATAGAGATTTTAAATATTTAAAATTTAAAAGCTCCTAGATTTAGTGAGTCTTTACAATTACGATTTTAATTTTATAAAAATCGGAAGACTTTATCATATGGCTGTTATCGAAACTATCTAAATATTTATCTGAAAATTAATATTGCTTAATTATGCAGGTCCAAAACGCGAGATTTCAAGATTTCAAACGTGAAAGACTTTTCATAAAAGTTTTCTCAGAGGAAAAATTTTTAAATTAATATACACTGATAAAAAATTAAATAATAAAAATAAAATATATATTAAATCATCCTATTAAATACAATTCATAAGAAATTGTATGAGTTAAAAATAAATAATTTCAATTTATGTGGAAAATATTGGATTTAAAATAGATCCTATTTAATTTATATACATTTTATTTAATTTAAATATAGTTAAATTTAAATTTAATTTTTAGATATTAAAATAAATTCCAACAACATTTTTAATAATTTAAAATTTCAAATAACTGAAAACCGCAATGGATAAAAATCAAAGCATAAAATATTTAATTTGAGTACAAAATATTTGTATTTAATACTTCTTTTTCTACCAGTGTATCTTATACAATTCTAATGAAAGCATCTGAGGAACAAGAAGAACTCTAATTAAATTAAAAATGATGAACCCATTTTTTTTAAACTCCATTCGAAGTTCACAATACTTGCGACTAAATTTTGTTCAAAGAGTTGGAAAATCTGTACGCTATAATTAATTTATATTGCCTTATGTTAAACACCATTTAGTGGTGGCGTTTTGATAGAATTTAAATAATTCCACCAGCTTGGTAAACAAAGAGCAAAGGCGCTTAATGGCGGCGGTGAAGAAAATGGAGAAAAAGGGGGAAATCCGATTATCGATGTGGCCAGGAACGGACATTACTGGACAGCCGAGAAGAGTCATTTTTCGGAGGCATTTTGCTCCTTTGCTCCTCGCCGCTTTAAAATTGCATTTCGATGGCCTGGAAATTTTTCAGCATATTTTTTTGCATTTCATTTCGAGGATGCACAGATGGTGACCAGATGGCCAGGAAGGATGTGGCCTGCATGAGAGGACTACCAGGACGAAGCCACATGTGCGGGTGGTGCAAAGCCGCAATGAAAATGCCCCAAAAAGGAAGTGCCAAGGCGAGAACAGAAGGACACCCCAGGTGGCCAAGGACAATTGCAAATGCACACTGCCAGCTGAAAGCTGCCAACTGCCAGCATTTTCACATTTCCACATTTAAATTAAAGTCCCTTGACAGACTGATCCTTCATCCAGTTTATAGTATATCCTTCGAGTTGCACACGTTCACACACATTTAATTAACATTTAACGTTAACCTGTCCATTAAGACGAATGATGGCCACATAGAAAACAATGGCGGCATAATTGCAACATAGAAGCTAGGAAAACTGAACGAAGCATTTGCATACAAGACGATGATCGCTTAGCATGAACAACATCATCATCATCACCACCATCATCATCATTCCACCAGTCTGTTCCACGTCAGCGGTTTATCGTCCTAGGTGACGTTCCAATTTTCTTACTTTCCAAGGCAAGTTAAGGAATTAAGAATACAAAAAAATACGAAAACCTGGTAAAACTTGGCAAAACTTTGGTAAATTTAAAGATTATTTTTTGGAATAGTTGGAAAATCCTTTCACTCAAAATGAGACATTTTAGTAAGGGATAAATGTCTTGTTTCATAGGTCTCTGTTTAGTACACTCATGAGCAATCGCCAAAAGTTGAACTTAAGCCAGGGAAATCGCCCTAAAAAATTAGAAAACATGTGTGGAATTTAATACATTCTTTGCAAATTTATAATCATTTTTGTTAAATTCCGGGTGATTTTTTGTTAATGGACTATTTACTCGAAACTGTGATTTGATTTATTTTCTACAAAGCTAATTTAAAAAAAAAAGGAAAGAACATTTTTCTAGTATTTGGGGCAAAGTAAAATTTACCTAAATATAAGGACGATTTTATTTTTAGTTGGATTTTCTGGTATTAACTTGGAACTTGATTTATAACATTTGTCTTTAAAAACTAAGAACTATCGCCCATTCTTCTCAGTGTGTCATTTCGTTTTATATTCCTTAACATCTCATCGCTGGATGTTCCATTGCTCTGTAGTCGCGTGCAAAGACTCTGACATAAAATAAATGAAGACACAACTTTTAACCCCCCTCCCCTATCATCATCTTACTCTCGAATTTTCCCCACTTTTCCCCCACTTTTCCCCCACTTTCCCCTATTTTACCGCTTCTCAGACATTTTCCCCATCCATCCAAGCGACAAATGCTTGGCTTCTGCATAACTTTGTTCAATGTTTTCCAGTTAGTCTTCAGTTGGGACGTTCAAAATGTAAACCACAGACATTTGATACCACCTTTCTTTCACGGAGGAAAAAGTAGTCTCGGCCAAGGTTTAATCAACGTTGCACAAATAAAATAAATTTAATGGCTTAAGTTTTTACCTCATTTGAACATGACTTTATCTCAGTTTTTTGGTAAGCAAAGAATATATAGGATTTAGAGGATTTAATGGCAAGGAATCTCTTTTGTTAGGCGAACGAAGATTTATCCTAAAATTAAAAACTGGTTGGTTCTTTATCTTTATTTATTTTAATTTATTAATTTGTTTTCTTATTTTCCTTTTATGTTGGTAAATGTCCTGCCACAAGTACCAATTTAAGTGCGTTTAAGTACCTAGACATCTTTCAAACCCACTAAATTTCCTAAAATCCCCTTCACCGCTCTAAATTGTCGACCATTTTGTGGCAAACATTTATTCACTTGTCCAAAGCGAAAAACAGAAACCGCAAAATGTTTTCGGCGCGCATTTTATTGTTTAATTGGAATTGTTGCCTGTGGCAAATAAGGAGGCGCATGGATGGGTGGTAATAGCCGCGTGACCGCACTCCCTGTAAACGGATTACAAACGCCACCCCATGCAATCAATTAGAGCGAACAAGGCACAAAAAAGTAAATAACATTTTTGCCAATCTGCCAAATTCTCTCGCCCTGCATTTTCTGGCCCTTGTGCAAAAATTGTCATACGCTGCGTATGCGTTATATTTGCATGCCAATAAATGGTATATATATATATATATACATATATACATATATATATATGTGTGTGTGTGTGGGACGGGGTTGAGCTGCGTGTTTTATTTGAGTGTGTGGAACGGTGGCACACGAAACACAATTCGTACATAAAAGGCGGCAACAAAAAAGTTGACGCATAAATCAAACAAAAGCAAACAAAATAAAATAAAACAAAGCAAAGCGAAGCTAAGGATCCCCCTTGTTCTTTTTCATGTCTTTCATTTCCTCCGCACGTAAATATTTGCTTGGCAATAAAAAATTTAACAACGCAAACAGGCCAAAAAAGCAAAGGAACGGTCCAAAACAAACAACACAATGGACGATATGTGAAGGCAGATCCAGACAACGAAGGATGCTCTGGGGATGTGTATCGAAACAGATAGCAACAGGAATGGAATTTCTATTAATTGGGCAAGCCGAAGTTTATATACACTTGTAGGTATTGCAAAAACGAAATATTCTACCAAACCACTATATACCTATTTGTATGCTTATGCATAAAAACAAATAAATGATGTCAATTTTGCAATATATTTTTGTATTATCTGTTATTTTTTTTAGTTTTTTCTTATGCATTTTTATAATCGGAATAAACATCTATAACTCTAGTTATACGAGTTGTGCCTTGTACTAATCGTTTAAAAATTTCAACTTGCAAAAGCTTTGATTTAAATCATAGTACTCTTTACATGGGTATCAAAATATTGCTTCCACTGAAAACACTTCAACATGTCGTTTAGTTCAGTATCAATTTTCATATTAATAATTTTTTTATTCATAAAGAGTTCTCGTTGAACTTCGTAGTCGTAATTGTCAACGTATCAGATAAATGTTACTTTATAAATGCAGAATTCGCGTTAAATGTGAACACTATGTTGAAAATTCGTAAGAAACAGAGTTGAAAAAGCAAAGAACGTAAAAACTATTCAATGGCTTGCTTTTTAATGGCCAAATAATGTCCATTTTGATCGGAAGATGGCCATTTTCTTTCCTTCTCGCTTATCTCCAGTTGCCCCATGCGTTGGGTTACCTTTCTCCGCCTTCTTGACTAGCAGAATTTGGCTTTTGCATCGCTTCTTACATAATTTATATGCCACACGCCGCTTGCCACTTGCCACATGTGCAAAAAGACCAACTACAGTGCCATGAATATGCATGATAATCAAGTGGCGACGTTGCGGTCCACTCGTTTATGCGTTTTCTCTTTCTGGCCCGCAGGGCATCACATATCGCCCTTTCGCTATAACAGGACCCATTAAACTCAGAATGAGTGCAGAAAACGTAGCATACTTTCCAGGGCACTTTTAAATTAGTGGACAATTAAAAAATACGTTTCCATGAGTACATACGTTTTTAATGAATCCATATTTTAAAGTCAAGATGTTAATTTCTTAAACTTAGTAATTTATATTTTAATGTTTTAAAACGTCTCCATAAGTCCTATTATTTCATTTTATTTAAAATGTATATATTAAAACCATTAATTCTTATTTTGAAGTTAGGATTGTAGTTTCTTTTATTAAGGAAATTATATTTTTGTTTTTAACAATATTCCAAGACTCAAGTTTTTCATTTTTTGTAACAAATATAAAAATACAAATTTTTGATGTGTAAATATGTCCTTTGATTTTTGAATACAGAGTAAAATTAAGTTTAAATTAATTTTCCGAAAAATTTAATTCTTTATTTAAAATTATCTTTCAGTAAATCAGTATTTCGAGTGAAAGCCTTTAAAAATATACAGATATGTTCTTGAAATTTTCTTTTAACAATTTAAAAGTGTGCTACATGTTTTTAAATTTTCATTTCTGACGAGGTAGTACTTCCTTTGGCACGTTCGTGAGTTCGTTTCCGTGTTTAGTTCGTTAGTCACAAAGCAGAGGTACAGAGCCCGCATTTACATGTGTCTTTTTGTGTCATTTGCATACGACTTGAGCCTTTTGTCCAGGTTAAAACCCGACGCTTTCTTTCTTTCCCCAATGGAATTGCAATAAACTTGACCACCAGTGTGCAAAACTTTCGTCGCAGTAACTTTCTCCCCCAAGAAAATGGGCAAAATAAAGTCACTGAGAGGGAATTTCAATTGATTCAAAGCAGGACTTTCGAAATGCGCAAACAATTAGCCCCAAAGACGAAAGTTTCGGACCAAAAAAAGTAAAAAAGTTTGCAGCAGCTGCCCGTTTCTGATTGCCATATCAGAAACTTGGCCTTTGTAATGACTTGACTGCGTAAAATTGGGGGAAATTCGAAAAGTTCGAGCAACACAGAGAAAGTGCATCACATTCCCTGGGCCCAGAATGAAAAATTACTTCGATCGGCGTGCGCCACTTTCCTTGCTTTCCCCACTTTCACATAAATTACACGTTGGCAAGCTTACTTAAGAAAAAAAAAAAGTAAATGCCCAACCTATCTTTGTTAAGAATGTGTATACGTCTTTTCTTAAGTTAAGTTTTGTTATTAAAGCTTTGCATATATACTTGAAACCCGATTATAAGTGGTTTTCGTCCTGAATATTTCCTGTTTTGTAATTGGTTAATGTTAACCTTAAAACTTCACAGATGATCTAAAGATTGCATAACTTGAGCTTGTGGCTTTATTTCTGTATTAAAAAAAAAAAAATTGTAACCTAAAAATAAATATGAAAAATTGAATGAATGTTTTATAGCAATATTTGGTTTACATTTGGTATTGATTGGTATTATACTTCGTTTTAAATTTTTAATTTAATTTGTATTATAATCTGTATTTTATTTTTTGTATAATCTGGCTCTGTTTAGCCTTGTTTTAAAGTGCTTAACAACTGGCCAAGATTTTTCATGCATAGAGTTTCGAACACAAATTGTATTTATGGGCAAAAATTAAAATTAAAATTTTCCTTTAGCGCACGTTGAGATCTTAAGACAAGATTTTTTTTTGCATAGCAATGTTTTGATTGTATGTCATGACTATTCACAGTTGAGTTATAGTAGATCAACAATTCTCAGCAATTCGTCGGAATACTTCGGTGTGAGCATGAAATGGGGAAAATAATAATTATTAAATAAGTAACATGTACAAAAATAGGAAAAAAAATAATAAATAAACTCGAAAAGACGAGATCAATTTGATCAATTGACCACCAACATATCCTATTTAATATTTGATAAAAAAAATGAATTAATAAATTAATGTGACAATGGAAGAATCCAAATTTCAAAAATAAGCCCCTGCTATTATCATTAAAACTTATGTAATCGAGGTTTCAAAAAGCTAATCTGTTCGATATATTATTTGTGTTTTAAGTTAATACGTAACATATCGATATTAATATTGGCGAAAGCATTCAATTCGATGCAAAACATGTTTTCTGTCATCCCCAGCATTGTGTACGGTATAGTTACACTTTTGAGTAGCTCAGCCCTTCCCACTTACAATCGGAAAGGTGCAATCGGCCGCGACGAGGGCCAGAGTATCCTCACCGATCGGCGTCGACATAATCATTTCATCCTGGACTGGATTTCGAAGTTCCTCTTCGATTTCCTCGAGTGTCATGATTTTTGAGTAGTCGACTTCCGGCGGAGGTTTCAAAGGCGATTCTTCCTTTTTGGATGTGAGTGCAATGTGTTTTGAATTATGTTCAATGTTCATACGCTGTTGTTCTAATGCTATTTGGCTTGATAAAGACTCTGTTTTCCCTGGTGGTGAAGTTTTCTTTGGCGGTTCTTGGATGGGATTAGGAACATTATTCATACGTTCGTGGGTGGGCATTAAAAGGCTTCTCTGTGGATCAAAGAGAAAACATTTTGTGTGGTCGACTCCAGGTCGAAGTTGTGAAAGCGATTCTTGCTGTTTGGGTGCATGTGAAATGTGTTTTGGATAATGTGCAGCGTTCATAGGCTGAATTGAAGTCACAGCCCCGGAGGCCAATAGCTCACCGATGCTTTTAGGTGGTGGATATTGTTTCGGTTGTTTTTTTTCTATTTTCCTCGGTGGAGAAGTTGATTCCAATGGTATTTGGATTGATAAAGGCTCTGTTTTCCCTGGTGGTGTAGTTTTCTTTGGCGGTTCTTGTATGGGGTTAGGAACATTATTCATACGGTCATGGATGGGCTTTAAAATGCTTCTCTGTGGATCATGGAGAAAGCATTTTGAGTAGTCGACTACCAGTCGAGGTTTCAAAAGCGATTCTTGCTTTTTGGGTGTGTGTGAAATGAGTTTTGGATTATTTTCAGTGCTCACAGGCTGTGGTTCTGGTGGTATTTGCCTTAATAAAGATTCTGTTTTCCCAGGTGGTTCTTGGATGGGATTAGGAACATTATTCATAGGTTCATGGATGGGCTTTAAAAGGTTTCTCTGTGGATCATAGAGAAAGCATTTTGAGTAGTCAACTACCGTTCGAGGTGTCAAAAGCGATTCTTGCTTATTGGGTGTGTGTGAAATGAGTTTTGGATTATTTTCAGTGCTCACAGGCTGTGGTTCTGGTGGTATTTGCCTTAATAAAGACTCTGTTTTCCCAGGTGGTAAAGTTTTCTTTGGCGGTTCTTGGATGGGATTGGGAACATTATTGATATGTTCTTGGATGGGCTTCAAAACGCCTCTCTGTGGATCAAAGAAGGGCTTATAACCTCTATAGTCAGTCACTATAAGCAATTTTCCCTCAGGAGATATTTTTAATTTGACTGGAGAACTCATTTAGTTGCTAGAAAATTAAAAATAAAAAAGAAGGATAATGAAATGAGGATGTTGATATGAGGATGATAAAAAAGGAGACTAAAGGATTGTTTGGAGGTGTATGTGTGTGTGTTAAAACAATTTCAAAAACCATTAAATAGTAAATAAACTTAAAAACTAATGCTAAAAGCATTAAATTATCACAAATTACTTGGGCAATCACCATAAATTTTGTGGTAAAGTAACATAAACGCTTAAACATGAAGAGGAACACAAAACTTTTGCCCGAATTTATAATACACTTTGAAAAAATATATAAAAAGGAATATTTTGAAATAAGGTTTTCTTTAGATACTCCTTATATAACGTTTAACTATTTAGTAAAACTTTAAGGGATTTAATAAGATAGTTTGTAATATCAAATTACGTTATTATTATTTTTTTTTAAGAACTTTGAAGTTCCAGTTTATTGTCTACTCCCTTACATAATATAGAACAAGTGTAACATTGTTATTTTAGGCGAATGTTTAAATACTAAAATAGAGTATTTTACCAGAGAATTGAATGGCATTTACTGTATGAAAATGCTTTTAAATATTTAACAACTTAGCATATTACCTAATAGTAATGCCCCGATTTCTTCAAAACTTTCTTTCGACAACCACGAATAAAAAATGCATCCTTAAAAGCAAGAAAAACAAAGAGCAAAAGCGAACTTTTCGGTATGCATATGCATAAAATAGAGTGTCCCCTCTTTTTCTCTCGCGTTTTGCAATTTAGATGTTTATCCCCAGTTGTGTCTCCTTGTTGTTTGCTGGTTTTACTGTAGCTGTTGCTTTTACTGGGTGCCTTTTATTTTGCTTTTATTTTTTGAAAATACTTAAGCCTTTTATTCAGTGCGCTTTTTTGCGACGACGTCACCGACCTCGACACTTAACCCTCATTTCCCTTTTCTCCGGTCTAAATTTACATTTCGTTCGCTTCATCTACTAAATTTTACGGATTCATCGCGTACATTTCATTTACATGCGTTTTATTATCTTCTCTGCTCTGCTCTGCTCTCGCAATTTGTTATTTGTTGCCTTTACATATTCAAAAGGGTAAACATGTTTTGGCCAAGCTTTTTCGGTTTTTGAGAGTCCCACTAACAAGATAGAAGTCTGTGTCTGTTGTGGGTCCTTTTTAAGTGTGCCTCGTCTGCATGTGTGTGGCTTATTTTAATATCATCATATTTATGACGTGTTTGAGCACAAAGAAAGTCAGCCAAGGGGGGATGTGTGCCACTTGAAGACCGTAATCGCTGTGACAGCTTTCAAACGGAGGAGGGCAGGACAGAATACCCATGGAAAATTTTTATAACTCCCATAACTCAGGCGTCGGTTTGCGGGATATCCTTTAAACTTGCCATTACAGAATTTTTAGAGCTGGCAAACACTCGAACTGGGTTCAAGAGTTTGCATTTTAAATGCTCTTTAAACCGGGTAACTAAATTATCTCTGACGCCTTTTATTAAATTAATTTGAAACATTTCATTGTTAAAATGTTAGCGCGTTATCCCTTTTATACCCTTATTAGTATTATAATTTCAGACGTTCAGACAATTGTATATATTTTTATAATTTCAGACGTTCAGACAATTGTATATATTTTTATTCAAAACAAAATTTTTATTTGTTTTAGAATTTTGATTTATATTTTATTGAAATCGGACAACGGACAACAATCGGACATAGCTTCAATCTTTTTAAACTTATACGCTTAAAATTTAAAGTAAAGTTTAGGGATTATTTAATTTTGGGTATAGCTGCAAGGGCATATATACTTGGGCTTATTCAGTGCTAATATATACACCCAGAGAAAAACGGCATAGTAAAATTAAACATTAAAATGTTCGCTTCGCTATGATGATGGCTTGTCTAACTAACTAAACTAAGATATTTGGGGATGAAGCCTTTGAATAAAATTGATGACCAAGATTCTTGGCCTTAGCCCAACTTCATGGTAAGCCTACCTTAAACTATCTGTCACAGTTGGAGGCGCCTCCATTTTATTCATTATTCATGCCAACAGGTGGGCAAGCGAAGGAGATGGAGGACGACCCAACATGTCAAGTGGCCATTCCTTATGCATGTAAATCTCCAAATCCCCAAGTGCAGTCACTTGGCGTGTCCTTTTGTTTCTCGTCGCTCGTCGCTCGTCTCCCGTCTGTCTTTCCCTCTCATAAATTATAAACAGGGAATTTCCATTTCTTCTCCACACCAAGTGGCTGACAACTTCTGACTTGACTTTCGACCGGCTTGCTTGACTCCGATTGAGTGACTGGATGACTGGCTGACTGATGAGCAGCTCGAGCTGCGAAACACCTGACAAGCAGCAGCCTTCTTAGCTACATTCTGTATAAAAATAGGCTAAATTAGGCTAAAAATTAAAAATAAATGCTGAAAAACAAGCTTTGTATGTCCAAATGAAAGAAATCATACAAAAAAACTACACGTTTTTAAGTGATAGTAGTATGCTAGATTTATGGCTATAGGATTTTTACAATATTTATAAGCAACTATGCTACAACTAGCCAGAAATAGGCCAAAATGGCTACACTGATTAGAAGGTTATCGGCAATCAACTTCCACATAATCAACTTCGACCTCAAAGAGGGCGGCGGACCAATTAATTTGTGCTCGCCTCAAAACTAAACTAACAAGGATGCAAAGATGATGGGATTTTCGATGGGCAAACAGTGCGGTTGTAATTTCGGGACTGAGAATTGAGGGCATGCCCAAATTGGGATGTGTGTGTATGGTATTTTGGGTTTGTACTCTGTAACTTGTGTTCTGCTGATTCAACTCGATGGGAACAGTAGTTTATGCCACATCGAAAAATAATTATAATCAGTTGGGCTTTTTGGCAATTTGCTGGAAAATTTTAAATTTCCCAAACTCACTGATAGACAAACAATCGATTATAATCGATAACTGTAAAGAAACTCAAAAATAAAATTATATACATTTTTATGAAATGTTTATTTACTTTTTTTTGCTTTTTTGCAGCAACCAATTAAAAATATAAACATTAAAGATTATACGATAAAATATCGTTTGTGAAAAACTAACAAATAATTTTATATCATAAAATTTTGATTGGAAACACTTTTGTTCGAACGGAAATACTAAAAATATTTTAATATGGATGCAAGGTGAGTGGTTTTGAGTTTATATTCCATTTTAAAGTTTGTAAATTAAAAAACATACATTTTGGATGTTACATTTTCTTTTAATTAAATTAATGTTTGGCAGCGAACGAGAACTAAGCTTTTCTATTCAAGCTAATTAAGGCTCTTAAAAGCCATTTTAAGATCTCTGGCTGGCTAATGCTATAAGATAAAACCCCGCCATCCACTTTTGGCCTGTTTTTTTGGGGGGTAACCACTTGGATTACACTTAGCCGAAATATATGTGTTTGTTTGTTTTTCTTGTCGCTTTTTTCCTCTGCCTTTCTCTTTCTCTTTTTCTGCATTTCTTTTTGTCGCCGACGGTTATTGTTGCCAGTTTTCCCAAACAATGCAGCCCCCCAAAAAGGACAACATGGAACATGGCGAGACCTTGTGGGGAGTGGGCGGTGGGTGGGCAATGGGGGGTGGTACATGAATAAGGACAAGCAAGGCCACCACCACCATCTAGCGCCCGCTATATAGGATACTTGTCATTGTGGTGCACTTTTATTTTCATCTTTTTTTTTTTTTTTTTTTTTTTGAGCCCTCCACTCGGAAGCCGCTCACCTGAACGCCGGCACAGGAAATGGGTAACAGCTTATTGCATAACCCACAAGCGGGCCAATGTCGCCCGGCTGGGATTAGGCCAGCCCACAGATATAGATGCCCAGCAGCCAAGAACACACTGGGCCAAATCAACCTTATGGTAAACAAATAATTACATCTTTAAAGCAGGGTTGCATCAACACAATTAAGCAAACACATGCACACACATGCAACGAATGTCAATGTAGAGTTGAGAAAAGACAAAAAAAAATTGTATTTGGATAAGCGATAAAAAAAATAACTTTAAGTACTGTTGTTGGCTTGCCTTGATCTTATCAGCACCTCAAAGAAAAGAATTGGATTCTAGCAACCTAACCATTAAATATACTTTAAAAAAATTGTCACAGATATAACTGAAAACACCGGAAAATATAGTTTCTAGTTAGTAAAAAATGGATATGTTTAACAAAAAACTTTTAAAATTGTTGCTATCTCAGATGCCTTTCATTACATTTCCTTCAAATGATTTACAATGAAGTTTTTAGAGCTAAAAAATGATGACACCTAGTTTCAGCTCGATCCCTTGTCGAGCGGATTGGGCCCTGGCCCAACACAAAAGAAGTACTTAATTTCTTTCAGTGCCTGCGCACACTTCCCTCCATTCAATCTTTGCTGCTATTCCTTTCGTCGGTTTCGTACACGACTTCATTGCGGAATTCTTTGGCCAAGAGGAAAAAGCTGCTTTCGACTCAATCAAGTTGATAGCGGGAATGAAGAGTTGTGGGCGCGAGGAAGTGGGGGCGTGGCACTAAAATGAAGAGCAAAGGTTTTGCTCCTCCAGCTGCAGCGGCAAACTTTTTCGCACCAAAAGAGATTTTCGCAAACTGCAAATTCTTCCACTTTGCTGCCTCTTGCGATTCATTCATGTAAAATCTGGCATATATTCATGAGTTCGTTTTTGTGCGTATGTATGTATGTGAGACACACACGCACGCACACACACATTTGAGCAACTGGGCTGACAAGTTGTAACATGATTTAATTCATTAAATGAAAATCATATTTTATGATTTAAATTGCATTTTCCAAGGCAGTCAGCATTGGTATGTGTATGTGCTTGCTTAGCATCAATGTGTGTATATTTGCGTCAGTGTACACTGAACAAAAATAATAATTAATCCACATCAACAATGATTTTTAATCAAAAAAGGGATCGTAAATCTATTTTGTTTTAAAGTTTCGTTAAAACTATCTAATTTTCTCTAGAAATAAAATATAATTTTCATAGTATAAAAAAAAAATTTTAGCTGTTTTTTGGTATTGTTTCTAAATTATAATACCATTTGTTTTTTGATTATTATTTTTGAGACTTTACACAATCTGTAGATCTCAACAAGTATATAACCATTTCCATAGGAAAGTTTTAGGGCAAAGAATCACCAGGGAACTCTAATAAAGAAAAAAGAGCCACGTCTCGTGGGAGTTCCTTATTTTTTTTAAAGCGGATGATGAGGCAATTTGATGTCCCACGACTACAACCCCTTTTTCCCCATTTTCCCTCTTGCCTCGAAACATAATTTAGCGGAAATTCTGTTTTGTTTTGAGCGCGCCTAAAGCCAATACGGAAACAGTTAAAATAAGGAAAGAATAAAGGACCAAAAAGACGGAAAAGTGATTTTTTTTTTTTGTGAAAGAAAAATGGGGAAAAAACAATTTTAACTTGCTAAGCTTGAGTGTGTGTTTGTTGGTTGTTGTTTTGCGGGGGAGAATGAAGATGGCAGGAATTTAAATTGAGCGCGCCCAGGAAAATCGAGAAAAATTCCAGCATATTTCTGCTTTTATATCTCCCGGTGATCGTTTTATTCTGAACAAAATCATTTATCATTTTTCGCCCCGCTTGATTAATGATTTTATGGTATATTTGTTTAGCTTTCTATTTATCTCTTTGTGTAATTGCTGTTCCCGGGAAAACTCTCGAATGCTGCGCCACCATTTCTGTAATTGCTTCCGATCGGATGCAATTGCAGCCAACCCACCGACCCACTTAATCGCTTAGCTTTGCACTCCAGATTATATAAGCCCTGATAAATGTTGTCTCCATATTTCGGTCTCTCCATATTTTTACATCGCTTTTCCTCCGACTTTCCACCGCTTTTCCTCGCTTTTCGCAAGTGCCAGGCGACCCCTAATAAGTATGCTACACATTTTGACAGACTGACAGCTGAGGCCAACGTGAAACCCAAAAGGGGCGTGGTCGGGAACAGGGGCAGGGGACTTACAAGCTAGAATTCGGAAAAATTCACGGCAGAGATGGTCGAGTGATTTTGGGCATTTCAAAGCCAAGACAATATTATATTCTTAAGCTCCAAAAAAATATATATACTTAATTAAGTAATGACGTTAAGAAAGCTTATAAATTCACATTGCTTAAGAAAATTTCTTGAAACTATATTTATTTTTAAAGCTTTGGAAATATATAATCTTAAGTAATACACATTGAATATTAGCAAAAGACGCCAAGAAAGCTCATAAATTTAAGAAATAAATTAAATATCTAAAAGCTGTAGAAACAATTTATTTATTTAACTTTTAAAAATATATATATTACAAGCTCTTATATATTTCGCGTTAAAAGTGATGACTTGAAAACTAACATTTCCGATTAAGTTTCTCTTGAAGCAAATTCCTTGCATATTTAATCAAGATTTTCAATTAGGTTTTTATTGAAGAAATTTTGTTTGAATATCCATAACATCACAGGCGTGACTCACGTCTCCGCTCTCAACTTTTTTTTGGACACGTTCCAGAGCTTCTGGCCAAAAGTGGAGTCTTGGCCTGCAATTAACGCAACACGATTTGTTGACCCCGGTCTCTTACACTTTCTTGGCCCGCCTCCCTGATTGCATTTGGCGTAATTTTTAATTAGGCTTCTCGCCCTGTTGGCGTAGGTTTGCTTTCCCTCCTCTCCGCTTTGAACCGGGCTAATTGCCTTCCTTTTTTTTTATTTCTTAGCCAGGATCAAGTGGACGAGGATATGTGGCTGAGAAGAGCTGTGATTTTTAATTTAATAAAAACTCCGCCGCACTCCCTAATTGACCAGATAGGGCAAAAACGGCTATACACAGAGAGAAAAACTTACACATGATGCCATGAGCAAATAGAAAATTCAATTCATTTTGGAAAGTTTAAAACTTCCGGGAAAAGAAAAAAAGAATAAAATGTACATCTTTTGACACTATATAAATATCAGAAAGATAATAAAACTTTCAAAATCCTTTAAGTATTTAATGTATATAAAACTTAAAAAAAAAAGTTTAAAATGTACATTTTTTCATTTATTAATTTAATTATCTGAAAACAAAATATAAATTGTAAAAACCCTTCAAATATTTAATCTATAATAAACTTTTTTTTTATCACAATTTTTGATATGATATATTATCTGAAAATACTGAAAATTGTAAAAATATTCAAATAACTTATCTATATTAAACTTTTTTTTGTGTAATGGGCGGGAAAGAACCCGAGGCAGGGGGCGTGACAGCCAATAATTCATATGTCTCGCCCTAAAGCTATCAGATTTTACAATTTTTCCAGTCCTGTTGTAATCTGCACCGCCGCATGTCAATACATTTATCCATATTTGCATTTTGTGGTTTTGGTCTTTTTGGGACTGCCAGTATAATTCCCGTTGAAATATTGCACCTGACATTTAAGGTTGATTAAAATGGAATATCTGAATTGCATATGAATGGCAAAAAAAATATGGTCATTGAAAATAAAAACAAAATGTCTACCCAGAAATTGGTCAAACAGTGCAAGAATCTAACGCCTGGTAAAAATATTTAGAAAGAACACAAACATTTCCAAACATCCGTTCACAAAAACGTTTTTTTGTGTGCTTGATAAATTTAAGAAAAGCCGCGGGCCATAAAAACATAATTATTGTTAGGATATTTCGCTAGCATGGCCAATTACCCCAATAACCCCGATCGTTCCTAACGCAGCTACATTACCCTTATCCCTATAAAATTGAATTTGTATTATTGTTTTAAAATAGTTCTTATTTTTACAAAAAGATTTAGACACCTGCGTGTGACTTTTATGTTTGGTAAACTGGGAAAGCACATTTTTTTTTGGTTATGTCTGAATGTAAGCAAAGAAATTTCGAGAGTGTTATCATATGTCGGGGATTTAAACTATACCACATACTCGATTTCGAAGATATGAAGCGATCAAAGCTTTGGGAAATGGAAATTCCGGAATTATCAGAATCGAACCAAGTCAAGTCCCGAAAGCAGACGCCGATTAACAACGGCTAAAGACCGAAATGTGCAACAAGAAATGAAGCTTCTCACACGCACATACACACATGCACGCACACTCACAAGAAAAAAAGTCGTTTTAGGTTTGTTTTGGCTTACACGCAAGTTTGCAATCCGGCAACGTTTACAGTACGAAATTCGGACAAAACCAGACTTGTCCGTAAAAGGGCTCCGAACTTTCCGCAGCTTAGGACCACACGCGGCCAAATCGGACAAAAACTAACACGATGAAAACTACAGTGTGACCGCAGAAAAGTCAAAACATTTTACCACATCACGAACATAACGAAAAAATGAGTTTTTAAAAGGATATCGATAAGGGGGATTTATTGAATACCTCTATTGTAACGTAAATATGAGTAGTTTTTGAATATTTTAAAATAAGCGTAAAAATTGTAGTCGAGTAAAGGTCAAATCTCAGTTCTTTATATAATTTATCATAAGCTGAGGAAAAGTTTCACTTGATAATTTACAAATTTTATTAAGTAATTGTATTTCGATCATATGTTTGTAAGATATATATTTAAATAGTTATATTTCAAGTAAATAAACCATTTATATATTTATATTAATTCATTTGAATCAAGAAAAAAATATGTTATTGGGAAATAGCAAATTACAGGGTATTTAACTACTTCCGACTTTTGTTTAATTAAATATTCGTTAATTTTGGCGCCACATTTTATGATTTTCTTGATTTATAAGCAACGTGATTTGAGGTGGCCCAATTGTTTTGGCCATCCTGATTCTATCAAGAAATGTGGATTTAAAAAGCGAAAAACGTTAACAAAATTTTCAAACTAGCAAAAATATCAAAAATTTTTTTTATATTGCACCTTTTACCTTACCTAGATACATACTTAAACAATTGTGTTTATTGTACATTACCCAGGCACTTATTCTTCCAAAGCCCTTGTACCTTACCTAGGTACTTCAAACTAGTACTTTTGCCAACACTGTTGAATACCAACAGTAAATACGAGTACTGTTCTAAACGGAATACGGCCACACCATACGAACAATCAGCTGTTTCTATCGCAAAATTGCCGCAACATACGCACAATCAGATGCTTTCTTTGCCGACAGTATTATTGTGTTTTTGTTTTAATTCAAAATTATTGTTTTTTAACTAAGAAGAGGATGATCCGCAACGTGGTGGTTGGCGTGTCGGGGGGCGTGGACAGCGCCGTTTCCGCTCACCTGTTGCGGGAACGAGGATTCAATGTTTTGGGCATCTTCATGCGCAACTGGGATGAAATGGACGAAGTGGGTCGCTGCACCGGCGAGGCGGATCTCAAGGACGCAGAGTGGGCGTGTCGTCGACTGGGCGTGGAACTGCGCACCGTGAACTATGTGCGCGAATACTGGACGGCCGTGTTTAGTCAATTCCTGGATGATTACCAACAGGGATTGACCCCAAATCCGGATATCCTGTGCAATCGTCACATCAAATTCGACCTGTTCCACAAGCACGCCCTGGAGAATCTGGGCTACGATGCCGTCGCCACCGGACACTATGCCCGCAGTAGTCTGGGCAACTTTCTTGAGGCGGCCAATCCCGAAAAGGAAGCCCGTCTCCTAATACCCACCGATACATTCAAGGATCAGACCTTTTTTCTGGCCGGAATTCCACGGCATTCCCTGCAACGCACCATGTTTCCCTTGGGAGACTTGCGGAAGAGTCAGGTCAAACAATTGGCCACCGAAATCGGACTCCAACGACTGGCCAACAAGAAGGAGAGCACGGGCATCTGTTTTGTGGGCAAGCGCAACTTCAAGGAGTTTATCAGAGAGGTAACACCAAGACTCCGATTCCGATTTACACTCATGATTATATTCGTACAGCCAGGGACAGATCATTAGCACTAATTCTATTTAAATCCATTACAAAATCAACATGTACATAATCCCATGGAGAAGTTTTACCTTTACCAAATTATTTTTAATAACCAGATTTCGAATTCGAAAGCCTTAACTCACAATTCATTCTTATTTTTTTCTTTAAAGTTAAAAACTTTAAACTTAATTAATTATTTAATTTAATTTGAAATAATGTGATCTTCAAAGTTTAAAGAAAAGACAAAATAAAATCAAAATATTTTTAAATATTTAAAAAAAAATTTTGCTTAAATTTCCAAAAAAAAAGTTATTTTTATTTGTTTGGTGCTTTCAAAAAATATGTATATGTACGCACTATACAAAACTTCACCAGTAATTTTGTTGTCACGTTTTAGCCACTCTTTGCCAAATCATAAATAAAAATTAAATATAAATATAGTTAATAAAAAAGTGTTTCTTACTATGTATAACGAATTCATGTAGAAATGTATTATAATCATGAGTGTATATCTAAAAGAGAAACCAAATTTGCCCGTTTCTCCTATACATTTTGCGATCGTTTCACCATGCCCTTGCAGTACATCACCTCCAAAAGGGGTCCCTTCGTGGACATCGACAGCGGAGAGGTGGTTGGCCACCACGAGGGCATCCACCAGTGGACCGTGGGTCAGCGCTGTCGCCTGAGCTCCTACCTGCAGCCCTATTTTGTGGCCAAAAAGGGGGCACCGGCCAGCAGCAGCAGCAGCAACACCATCTACGTGGCAGCTGGCCACGATCATCCCGCCCTGCTCAGCACTCGAATTCACATCGATCCGCCCAACTGGCTTTGTGCGGAGTCCCAAAGGAGGCTTGCGGCAATGGGCTCTCTAAGGTGTCGCTTTCGTTTCCAGCACACCAAACCATTGGTGGGCTGCCAACTGACGATATGCCAAGAACAGAACTTCCAAGTCGAATTGGATGCTCCCTTGAGAGCCATTACGCCCGGACAATACGCTGTGTTCTACGATGACACGGCATGTTTGGGCTCCGCCCGCATCCTCAGTGCGGATCCTCTAAAGAAAAGCAAAGCGTCGAAGCAAACGCAAGTGAGAAGTTTAGTCAGTTGATGGTCCTTCGGGGAAATAAAGATTTCTAAAGCCAACAAATTAAACCGATCATCCTTATACTTGATGAATAATATTTAGAAATTTATCTGGCTGTCATTATGAAAGTGTTTTTTTTTAATCTACAATATTTTGTTTTGTAATAACTTATATTTTTGAGATTACTCTGTGATGCCCTATGATGTTTACCTAAAAAGGCCTTTAATAATTTTAATTTCTTTCTTTCTGTTAATTTCTTTCTATTATTCTTTTTCATCCATTGAAACCAAAAAAAAAAATCTTTCAACTTTAAACGCAGTAAAAATAATGTTGTTTATATTTTGTATACAATCTTTCTATCATTCTTTTTGAAGCCTTAAACCCAAGAAAAACTATTTTAGCTCCATGGTAGACACTTTAAACATATACGCAATTTATTCTATGTCAGTTTTACAAATAATTTTCGGCAAAAAAATAATCATTTCTTATTCTACATTTGTGTGGTCCTGGGCGCAATCTCGCAGTCAACATAAATAGGGTTTGCTTAAAATCTTAGCCTAAGTGTACACGTTACAAGGTCTCTCGTCTTAAAAGTTAGCTTACGACATAGATATGATTGAGCAGGGATGTGTGTGTGTATGTGTGTGCGTGTGTGGTGAGCAGGATGTGTGGTTGATGATCATCAGGTGAGGAGCACGGTGAGGGCGTCCAGGAAGCGGGTGAGGTCACTCTGTCGCAGCTGCACGACGGCAGGCTCAAAGAAGTCCTGCAGCAGGGCAACGCCACTCTTTTGCGCCGCCTGCTCGAAGGCCTTGCCAAAGAAGGTCCTCGGCGAGTCCTCCCTAACTGGGGCGATCCCCACCAGCAGGCACATGCCCTGTGCTGCGTCCAGAGGACAACTGGCTATCAGTGGCAAATCGGGCGCCTGCCTAGCTCTACTCGTGGCCACATGTCCGCGCAGCAGGAAGCGTGCCAGCAGGGCCAGGGCATAGGGATACGAGAAGAAGGCGTGCTCCTCCTGCAGGACATAGTAGAAGAAGGACCCAGCCGAATGCACCTGGCGTGCCTCCAGACTGCTCTGCACCTGCCTAAAGACGGCCGCATGCAGCATTTTCGCCTGCTCAATGCCAGCCGTTAAGAGTTGCTTGTGCTGGCGACTCAGCGCATCGGAGGCCTCCAGAAAGCAATCCTCCGGAGTCTTGTGCTTCTTCACCGACTCCATGATGGATAGCAGGGCGTATACGTAATCCGCCGCCGCATACCGGCTGCGGTAGCCATAGCTCAGCGTGAATGTGCCATAGACGATGTCCGGTATGTCGTACTTCTCGGCCAGTCGCTCCACCATCGAGTAGAACTCCTTGCGCAGCACCAAGTCCATGGCTCCGTACGTTTGGCGCGCATGCACCAGTGGCAATCCCATCTCGAGCAGCAGCTCATGCAGTCTCTTCTCGCCGCGCAGCGTCCACAGTTTCAATTGGCACGACGCGTAGCGGGAATATCTGGGCAAAACAATGATAAACCATGGTCACTATTATTATTATTATATAGAAATAAATGGGTTTTTGAATGGACGAACGGGGAGAGTTCAAATTTAGAGTATTCCCTTCCGTTTTGGAGTCGTACCGATCGTGGCCACACCCTCTCCAACGCCCACAAATCGCGAAAGTCTGTCAAGTCACTCTGACACAGGCTAGAGATCCGATATTAAGTTTCAAATGTTTATTCGGGTAATAACTATCGAGTCTTCCAAATCGAACTATTATTTTAGATGTTATGGGCATTAATGTAAATTTTTTAGTAGATGGCGCCACGCAAAACTTGATTATATTCTAAAGGAATATATTATTTAGAAAATGATTGGGGATATTTCATAGTAAGTACTCTACTTTATAGCGTTGTCACCAAATTTGATATCAGAAATTTTATAAGTTGAAGGTGCGATCGTCACAACTTTTTTACCTCATTAAGAAGGGTTTTATTTTGATTTAGCTATGTGTCTTTCTCGCAAACTCTTTTATTTACCCAAAATTATTTGTACTGTCTATAGTTTATAGTGGTTCAACAATAGTATTATGCTCACCTCATGGACTCCGTGACTGGCCAGTGGCGGTACAAGACCAGATGCAGGTCATTCTCGAAACTGATCTTGGAGGCACTCATGGTGTTCTGATCGTTCGTCTTGTTGGTTAGCCGCGAGACATGCGACTGGATCTGCTCCAGCTCCAGGGTGTACGCCCCGCTCTCGATCTTGCCCAGCAGCAGTTGCTCGGTGATGCCCACAATGGCCCACCAGAGCAGGTCCATGTTGTCCTTGGACAGTTTCCAGGCCAGCTCGAAGACGAGCAGGGCAGCGGATCGTCCGTAGTAGCTGAACTGGGTGTACTCGAACATGATCCGGTCGCGCTCAGATTCCCATTGCCTGCGGGCTCGTTGCTTCAGGATCCGTTGCTCGTGCCGCTCCAGGCGGCTCATCTTAGTGGCCCTTTGTGCAGCGGGAGCACGATCCTCCTGATCGGATTCGCCGGCACCACTGTCGTTGTTTTGCTGCTCCTGGTCGGAGCCCACATCACCGTCGTCGTCGTCGTCCTCATCCTCATCCTCCCCTTCGGAGTCGTAGAAAATGCTTTCGAAGGCTGGAATATTCTCCTCCAGCGAGGGATCGCCCAGGATGCACACCTGGCGATCGCTGTAGATATTGCACACATCCAGTGGTCGATGCGAATCGCAGATGAAGAAGATCACATCCTCCGCCGGCTGCAGCAGTTCCACAATGTCCACGCAGCCGCCGCAGTTGACCAGCAGGACGTACTTGACATCGCCCTGGTGCTCCCCGTAGGCCCGTTTCAGTCCGGTTACGCCCATGATGGGCACCACCGTGTAGAGCATGTGGTCGTACTTGAACAGCGCCTGCAGAATGCGACTGGCGCAGATGGCATCGATGTCGTAGTTCACCACGATCAGGATGCGCTTGCCCACCAGCTGGCGGTAGAAATCGTTGCGCAGATCCTGCACAAACATGGTGAATCCTGGCCAGAATCCTCCCCACTAAATGCCAATGTGATCCAAAACAAAACACTTGCTCTTCTCAGTGACTTTGGGGCAGTTTCTTTTGATTTGTGGTCAATGGAGTGGGGCCTTTATATGACTGGTAGCCGTTGCATTTTGATGGTTTTCTTGTGGCCTGCGAGATTTTCCCCAATTTTCCCGCTCCGCCCCGCTGCACTTTCGCCAATTGCAATTTAGCGAATTAAAAACGCGGGAAACAGCTGGCTGTTAAAGTGTGACCAGTCTCGAACGGACGGAAAAAGCTTCACTTTGCCATTCACCCGACATCTACTCGTTTTTTTGTTTTAATTATTATTATTTCAGATACTAAAGAAAATTGACCGCCACATTAGTTCCTACCAATTTTTTTTTTTAATAATATAGAGGTGGCTTTTTATTTTTGTATACTAATAACAACCTTTAGTATAATCGTGTTTCCCAAACATCCCATAATTTTACGTCCATTTCCTTAGGTTGGTTATGGGAACAGATACATATATTCTATTTAAAAAGCATCCAAATAAAATTTAATTTTAAACAAACATTTAATCAAAAACAACTGATATTCGTCATTTTGATTTATAAAAGTGCAAATTAATTGAATATAAAATTTTAGTTCTATTAATGGCTTAAATTTAACGGCTAATACAAAAATCGGTATATTTTGGCGCGCCATCAACGGTCACACTGCAACGCACACATGTGTTTTGAAAAGTAATAAAACAAAGCCGGAAAGTTGAAGAAACCAACAAAGTTGAAGTGAAAAGCTAGCAAAACATGACCAAGGAGAACAAAAAGAAGCTGCTCGCCCAGCGGCATATCTCCTCGCGGATGAACTTCCTCTTCCAGGCGTCCAACTTAATGGCCTCGGGCAATCAAACCAAACTGGCCGCCTACTATGGCAAACTTTGCCGCAATGTGGGCACCAAAGCCGTGATGCACATGTAAGTGTGTGATGAGTGGCTAGTCCTTAAACATTATTTATAGATATATATATATATATATATATATATATGCGATTTTTAGGGCTCCCGCCTTGAAGCGCTCGCTGTGCCGACGTTGTTCGCTACCCCTGATTCCTGGATTGAATACGGAGGTACAGGTGGCCCAGGAACCCAAGAAACCGGAGCAAGTGACTCCGCCAGAGGTTCACCCGAATGGTGGAAGCCAAACAAAGAAGAAGCGCCATCGCAGGCAGCGCAAGAAGCCCCCAAAGAGCGAGGATTCAAGTAAAATCAGTGAATCACTGGGTGAAAACCCGGCCAAACCCGAAAGGATCTGCCTTTTCTTGGAGTGCTCCATTTGCCAGAGCCGCCGAAGCTTTTCCGCCGGCCATCAGCGAGATGACTGCTGGCTAGAACAGCCACAATCTCTGGTGCAGGTGGTGTCTCTGCCCGGCGAAAACGCTCAATGATAAGCCAAAGCTTTTGCTTATCAGTAGGGTCTCCACTGAACTCTTAACTTCATCGCCTGATGACCATCATGGCCAGTTGATGCCGGCATGCAGCGCTGTAGACAAGTGATTAACCGGCTGCTCCTGCGCCAGCTCCGCCAGGCTAGCACACTGGCCCGTGTGAGTGGTTCACCCGGCTATGTGGAGATCAAGGAGCAGGACTCCAGCCTAAAATACCCACCAGTTTGGCTGAGGGACAACTGCCAGTGTGTCGAGTGCTTCCATGCCGCCACCAGAGCAAGGAAAAGTCACTGGGAGCGTGGTCCGGTCAATATAGAAGTCCAGCAAGTGGCCTTCAATCAAGAACAGCAGCAGTTAGAGATCCTCTGGCAGGATGAACACAAGAGCATCTTTCCCATGGCCTGGCTACGGGAAAGGGACTTTGGCGAGGCCACTAGAAAGCGTTATCTGGAGGAGGTCTACAAGCCACCGGCACAACTCTGGGGAAGATCGGAATTTGATGCTGTGCGAAGGGAGTTCCAGTACGAAGATGTTATTCAGGAGGATAAAGTACTAAAGCATTGGCTGGAGGCGCTGGCCGTTCAGGGATTCGCCATTCTCAAAGATGCACCCAACGACACCAATGTGGCCAAGCACTTGGCCCAAAGGATTGGCTATATTAAGCGCACCACCTACGGGTAACTACTACTCTCAAGCCAGGAATAAAAGATCACCTAAGTTCACAGCTAGCCCATCATATTTTTGCAACTTTCAATGGCCATTATCTACCAATCTGTCATATACAATATATTATCGCAATCGCTTGATTATTATGGTATTACAGCCAGAATCAGGCAACTTTTGCCTGCCTTTGATTCCCAACTCATGCTTTTGCTCTTGATAGGGATTTCTAGATAGTTCCTACGATAGTACATCAAGTTGAAGTATATGTTTCGTTAGAGATTGTTGCCTGTTTGCCTAACCCAAGCTATATCCTTGCTAAATCTGTTTTTGCTTCATTCACTAGCGACGTTTTCGAGGTGAAATCGAAACCAAATGCGGGCAACTATGCCTATTTGATGACTCCCCTGCCGCTTCACACCGATTTGCCGTTCTACGAATACATGGCGGGCATCAACATCCTGCACACGCTCGTCCAGTCGGGATCGAAGGGCGGCGCGAATACCCTTACGGATGGGTTTAATGTTGCTGCCAGGCTGAAGCAATTGCATCCGGAGGACTTTGAAGTACTCAAGACGGTGCCGGTGAATTGGTTCGACATTGGGCACGATGGCGATGAATCCCGGCCCTTCCACAGCCTCTGGAGAGCTCCGGTGATCTGTCTAGATGTGGACGGACAGGTGACGAGGATCAGTCAGAACACCCCGAAGCGAGACAGCCGCTTTTCCGTTCCGCTGGAGCAGGCCATGTCCTGGTACAGGGCATACGACAAATTCCTGGAGATCGCCCAATCCGAGGCCGTCGAGTTCAAGACGCAGGCTGGCGATGTCTTTGTGTTCAACAACCTGCGCATGCTGCACGGGCGAACGGCCTACGAGGATGCGCCGGGCAACAAACGACACTTGGTGGGCGCTTACGTCGACTGGGACACCATCTACTCAAAACTGCGAACACTCAAGTTCCCAAATGCTAAAGATTAGAGTATTGGAGAGTACTTTATGTGAAGAGCGGTTTATAATTCAAATATTATAGTTGAATTCAGAAGTTCATATAATATATTTAACTGGACCACAGAACCGATTCAAGGAAATACATATATGTATATATTTCATATTTAATTACTTCCTTTTTAAAACCCGAAATTTGTATTGTTACACAAAAATAAAGAGAAATGTTAATCATGATTTTGTGTTTCATGTGAAGCCTTTTATTATTAAAATATTATAATTAAATTGAAAAGATCGCATATTTATTATAACTGGGCTACAGAACCGCATCAAAGGAAATATATATATATATATATATATCATATTTTAATAATATAATATATATTATTTACACAATAATAAAGAGAAATGTTAATCATGATTTAGTGTTTCATGTGAAGCCTTTTATAATTAAAATATTATAGTTAAATTGAAAAGATCGCATATTTATTATAAATGGGCTACAGAACCGCATCAAGGAAATATATATAATTCATATTTATTTCATAACGCTTTAGCTGAACTGAAATCTCAAATCAAGTTTTCAATGAGTTTTGTGTTTAATTTGACATTTGACATTTCGCACAAGGGTATAGAACATATCTGAAATAGGAAAAACCTTAATATATTTGATTAAGAAATGGACAACCATAACATATTCAAGACGCTGCGAAGCGGGAAAATTGTTTTTAAGACCCCAAATAAAAAGAAGATGAAGAAGGCAAAGAAAGATGATGAAGACGATGTTGTTCTTGTTTTCGACTCGAAAGAGCCGAAATATATAATAGACCTGACTGGCGAAGACTCGATGTAAGTATATATATAATATATAATATATTCATTATTTATTTTGTTTAATGTTTGCAATTTTAACTCATTTAAGGTCTGATGAAGGCTCTAAAAAACCGGAGGAGTAGCGAGCAGCCCCCATGCAATACTAAGCCCCTATTTTATGTGGGCTGAAAACTAACATTAACACTATTACAATACACATGTAAAATAAAAATATATATGTATATATATATTCTTTATGCTAAAACAAAAGCTTATATTGATTAATCATATAAATACAGAATCAGGCTATAATATAAGATTAAAAATGTATGTTTCGGTCTTGGAGGACATTTTGATGTTTAAGTAAGAAATAAGTAAATTCATAAAAAAAATAGCTAATTTGCAAGCCCCCCCCCCCCCAGTCCATAAATATTAGATCTCCTTGTGAACACTGAAAATTCAAAAACAAACCGCTTCTTGGTATTTTTCTTTTTAGCGTGCTTGGTATTCTTTTTTGGTATTTGTCACCCCATCCACGCAAATGGCTAAAAAGAAGAAGCACACCCGAAATCTGGTCACACAGCAGCGAAGGCATTTATTTCGCACGCAAAATAAAAATATAATGCAAAGAAATTAACTGAAATTCCGGCCGTAAAATGCGATCTAGGCCACGAGTCTAGTTTTTTATTGTTGTTGGATTCCCGAGGAAGTGAGTGAGCCTTCGCGTAAGACAGAGCGAGAGAGAGAGAGCGAGGGAGAGAGAGTGGAGCACGGATCACGGATCACTTGAAGTGGATTTCTGGTCCTGTTTATCCAATCGCAATGATGCCCTACAATGTACGGAATGCCGGTGGCGGCAGCGTTGGCGGAATACTCCGACGCACGGGCCAATTGTCCGGGTCCGGGTCCGTTTCCGGTTCCAGTTCCGGATCCACAATTCTGAGCAACGGAAGCGGCAGTGCGGGAGGAGGACCCGGAATCGGAGGATCCGCCTCCTCCAATCTTGACCTGAACCACCGACAAACGCCGCTGGAACTGCTCGTTTTTGGTTACGCCTGCAAGATTTTCCGGGACGACGAGAAGGCCAGGGAAATGGACCACGGCAAGCAGCTAATTCCCTGGATGGGCGACGTAAATCTCAAGATAGACAGGTTAATAATTGGAACTAACCCGAGCGTTAATTATACGATTAATCAGTACGCACACCACTGCTACATACACCCACAATACCCAAACCCATACCCTTACCCATACACAATACACATACCCATTTTGTGACCCGTTAGGACCAACACTAAAATGTACAGCAGCGGCCAAAATGGTACAAGCGGGTACTTTTGGGAAATTAAGTAACAAGCCTCTGGAAACAAACCAATCACGTGGTATGTTGAAAAAGTTGGTTTACCAGTAATCACAAACAAATTAAGAATAATTCCATACATTTTGAAAATGCCAATGCCTTAAAATTCAATCATTAATAAGTTAACCATTGTTTTTTAGGAAACAAATCATTTGGTGATATCAATGTTCTTAGAGATGTTATCACATCTTGGGGTACCCAACTATGATCCCCAATTTATTTACAAACGCAACAATTTTAACATTCATAACATAAATTTGTACATAGAAATCGCATAGATTATGATATAAACTGGCTGTCCCAAAATATTTCTTTCAACCAAATTTCAACTACAAAACCTACAGCTGGATGAGTTATATTGTATGTGAATTTAAACTTATGCCAATCTAATAAATTTCTAGCCTCAAATTTCTGTGGTTTATAAACATAAATCAATCTCAATGGCAAATAAAGACAAAAATTCACAGAATTTTGTACTCACAACTTTAAACTCGAATTTCTATAAAATTCTAACCAACTATAAGTCTTAGTGCTCAGTTTGTCTAATTTTCCAAAACTATTCAATGATTACCAGTATTTTGACCGCAACTGTGCTAAAAGAGGACTTTTGACCGATCTGCGGACTGCACAAACACACACACAAAAAACAGCATCCACACAACACACACACAAACGTACACACACCATTGTAATAACAGCTCTTTTCAGTGCTTCTCAAACTGTAATCTCTATCCATATACAATTTGAAAACTGTAATTCTTTGACCATTTTAAATGTAAACCGATTAACTTTTTAGCCACCGGAGCGGTATGTATATGAACGATCTCTAGCCTTAAAACCTAATCTAATCTGAAACTGCATTATATATATATATATATATATATATATATATATATGTATATTTATAAAAACCGTATGACTATGAATATTGTGTGACTGCGCGCGAGTGTGCGAAGCAAATGGGGATTTTTTTTGGGGTTCCTAAGGAGCTGCCCTGCCCCACCGTTTGTTTCGCCCGCCCCCAATTCGCGCTGCCCCTGGAATTGCCACGCCCACTGATAATGCTCCTCCCTCTCCTCTCTGTTTATATTTCTCTGCTTGCTCTCTTTCGGCTCCATTAAAAACCGTGAATACCGTGAATCCCGTGAATACGGCGGCATTTGAACCCCAGATACGATGTGCGAGGCGCCCTCTGCGAACTGGGGCCCCACGAAGCGCCGCCAGG